TGTGTGTGTGTGTGTGTGTGTGTGTGTGTGTGTGCGAGTGTGTGTGTGTTTCTCGCTGGAATAAAGGGTGGCACCCCTACATGGTAATGGTTATTTAGAGCAGGGAAAAAGTAAAACAGTACGACAGAAACGACAGAGAGAATAACAGAAAAGAAGAAGGGCCTATTTCGGCACTTTCAAACTACCTGCTGGTGTTTGTTTGATGATCCTTTCAACACGTCAAGATCATTATTTAAGATACGTGGTCTCCGATTGAATACCTATGTGCAATGGCGCCGAGCCTTCAAGTTGTAAGTAAGTAATTTTTTTTTAGGTAAGCCTTCTTGTTGAAGAACAAGGAAGTGTTTTGTACTAATACCGACGTTCAAGAATATCGAGCTCAGGGGATTTGAACTTGAGTCGCTCATAATAATATTCAAGCCAATATGAAACTATCTGACGTAACAGGGTGCCTTGACCGAAGAACAATAGGTACTGTGGGTACGGAATGCCCGTGGAGCCAGCCAGAGAAAGCTTATGTGGGGAATAATGCACTCAAGGGCCCTGCTTTAGTGTCGTTAGCGCCTATTGTTTTGGCTTGGGCCCTCGTACTTGTCGATGGGAACACACTGTCATCCATGTACACTGCACTTCACGGGATCGGTTTCAACTTATTGAAGCAGTTATACGCCGTGGGTCGGTTTATCTTGTGTTTTTTTCAACTTCTAAAGAAACTATTGCGTTTTTGTTGTTGTTTTTCAGAGTTGAAATTGGCAGAAAATGATTATAATTATACCCGTGAAATGTCACACCAATTTCATAAATTTCTTTTACTTGTATACTGAAAGGCTTTCAGTTTCATACTTCGACTTTACAGTAACACAAAATTGTAGATCTATCTATTTTTCTCGTTCGTCCATTATGATCTATTAAAGTAGATTACTTGTTCACTATATTTCTTCTACATTCGCCATTTTCTCTTACGTTAAACCATCTATTCATTCAGTCGTTTATGTTCCCTCGCAGAACACATACAAGACGTTCGACACCTACCCAGCCCCGTCTCCACTCAGGAGGTCCCTGACTACTCTGCCATGGAGGCCCAGCACCTACTACCAGTCCGCCAAGGTGAGTTTTTGCTTTGGCATTATATGCCCGCACAACGCAATGGCCGCTTCAGGTCGCAGCAAACCAGAGGTCAAATTTGACAAATTGTGCTTTTGCAAACCCATTTTACAGACCCAACCCTCCCAACCCATCATCATCATCATTGCCTTTCTCACCCTTGGGCAGGACATAGGCCACGAACAAACACTCTCCACCTTTCCCTATCCTGGGCTAGTCGCTTGATGTCACTCCACGTCTTCCACTTTTCTGTACATCCATTTCCATGACTCTTCTCCAGGTTCCACGAGGTCTTCCCCTTGATCTTTTACCCTGTGTCAACCCGACAAGTTGAATAGATGTACTTAAAAAACAACAACTGGGGTGATCAGTCAAACATAAACTCTTATCATTTTGGTGGTAAATGAGTCAAACCTCTATAGTCTCTTTTATAGGCATACATACAAGTACTCATAATACATCTTACCTAAATGTTGAAACTGAAAACTCTCGGTACGATAACCATAACTCCGTAGTCTTATTCTAATAACAGTTGAAATTATACCTCTTAAATCATACCAATTAAAACGCCAGTCCTTTCTCAGAATTGCTTAAACACAACCTAGCACAATGCTTTTGCATTTAACCTCTTCGACTATCCACCTTGACCTCTCCGACTATCCTCCTTGACCTCTCCGACCAGGTGAGCCCCGCCTCTGCTGTGACCCGCTCCATGCCTGACCCGATGTCCCAGCGTACTCAACTCACGGAGTTGGACGCCCTCAAGGTTCCACCCGTGTTTGCAGCCGCCAGGAATGCCCTGTACACCCGCTTCACGCCCAACGACTGGATGGCGTCTAACCAGGGCAACTACCTCGCCTCCGACCGCGTGCGAAGTGGCGCTGAGCGTCTGAGGATGGACACTGTCCGTCTGTGCAGGTTTGTGTCTTTTGCTTTTTTGCTGTCAATGATTACTCAATGGTCAGTCTTGATCACAATCGTTCTTGGCGGTG